GGACTTTGAAGCCAGTGTCTAAAACTATCACATCTTCTGTGGTAAGACAGAGTGAAAAGGAAGCTATGTGCCAGTTGTTTTAAAGTTGTAAGGAAAGTTGTTTCGGTGTAGTTGGAAATAATATACTGAATTTCTACAAGATCTCTCTTGGCTTTATTTTTTCCATTACTAAACTTGAGACGCTATTCAATGATACATGCCCGGTTCCCACACTTGTTTAGAATTAAGACGGGCCTTATTCATTGTCAATTTTACATCAGTGGTCACGTGTGATAAAGCACCTGGATGTTTGTTCTCTCCTCTTTATCAGTATGAGCCCATTGCTTTGGACTCTTCCATTTTGCTTTTGTTGCAGAAGGTAGTGGGAAAGTGGCAGAAATGAGAATGACTGTTCACAAGAAAACTGAAAATCAGTTAACTTGTTTTGTATAGTATGCTTTCTGAAACATGAAACGTTTAAAGGTTATAGTCACCTGTGTTAAAGCTGTATTTACCTTAACCTTTCAGTCTGGAACCACTGTGAACACAGCAGCTAACCTGTCTGAACTGTCATTGTTTTCAATAGGACGCATTCAGTTTACTAGCTTATTCAGATCCTTGGAATAGTCCAGTTGGAAACCAACTTGACCCAATTCAGAGAGAACCTGTGTGCTCAGCTCTTAACAGTGCAATATTAGGTAAGTAACTAAGCAAGACAACTAACTAGGCTTCAGCTACATTCTCTGTATATTAGGATATTGTCCTAACATTTGTTTCAATAAAACAGTTAGGGACATAATAATCTTTAAAATATAGAAAATTTCCTCCATACCAGATTACATGGATTCTTGATGGAATATAAAGGGTAAGATATTGAAGTATATCGTGAAATATTTGAAAATAGTTTTTGTCTGCACATATATAAGCACTTAATTGAGTCTTCTCATTTAGAATGAGGTACTTGGGTGATCTTTGTGTGAAAAACCTTACCCTGTAGCCCATAGCCCTCACTTGAGGACTGGGAATAACGGTATACTTTTAAATTCTCTCATCTACTGGGCCCAAGCTCTTCCTATATCATCATAGGGGCGAGTTGTAGGAAATATGTGACCTTGACTGGCCCAGGTGAGAAAGGTGACCTTATATTGACAGTATAGGAAGGTACAGAACCTTCCTATGTCAGTAGCTGTGTTTAATGGGCTTACCAGAACTTGGTTTGACTGTTGTGGGAGGAATTGGGGCATGTTTACAAAGAGATCTGACAGTTGCTCCACAGGAAAGTGGGGCTATAGAGTGCTCAGGGGTCCCAGCTGCTACCACCCTGATACAGTGTTCTGTTCCTTTTGACTCAAGGTATTTAAAAAAGGAATGAGAGTAACCTGAGCTCCCCACATCATAGCTTCTGCCTTAAGACATAAGCAGTACCAACCCCTGTACTCAAACATTTGCATTCAGATTAGTCAATCACTTGGGTGGAGAGAGGCTTTTGTCTGTGTTTGAAAAGTGGGGAACTGATGTTCCTATCCTTTCCTATCCGCCACTGCAGTTGTGGTAATACTGAACAAATACTTATATTCAAATTCTGTAGTTGCAATCCTATGTTAATATTACCCAGTTGATCTGCCCATAAAACTTAATTTCTGGGCTGTTTTCTTTGAAGGTAATTTAGATAAGGGTTATTTTACAACTCATGTAAGACTTATAAAATGGGACTTCAATCCAATTTAGAAGTTTGTGCTGTTACTTGGCCTGGTGAAGTTTAGATTTTTAGTAATGTGATTCAAACTATTTTTGGAAAGGTGACAACACTGTCACATGAGTAAAGAGTAATTTGGACATTGGTACTTGGCTAACATTCATTGCAAGAATGTAAAGGAAGCCGTGAGTGCTCGTGTTTATACTAAATCTGATGACACTGGTCAGTACTGCCATTTGGGAATAAGAATAGTGGCCTTTCTTAAATGGGGATTTGTGTGTAGAATACTATTAATCTGGTTTGTGTGTTGCATTTTCAGTGGCCATATAAGATCAGCTCTGTTGGTAAAAATAGCAGTTGAGTAACAGCGCTGAGCTGATGGGACTGGCAGCTTACTGTGATTGTCTTTTTTGAAACTACTGTATTACAGGTAGTCACACAGACATTCCATTGCCAGTTTTCTTGTGGCAGTTTTTAATTTCTGGAGTTCTTGAAAAGCTTAGGAGCATTATCCAAGATACAAGTGTAAGGCTGGGTGTGGCAGGCAGGCCTCCTGGCTTGTTTCAAGCCTGTTTTACAGAACTTTCAAGTCAGAGACAGGACTACAGTGAGACTGTGTGTGTGTGTGTGTATAAATAATGCTTATTTAATGCTTACATTGAAAATTATTAAGTTTAAACAATCCTGTGGATGACTGCACCTTTCATGCTACTCATGGGCAGAGCTATATGTATATATATATATAGTGTATTAATTGTATGTTTTATATATCTTAAAAGCTTAAAGATGCTTAAAGCTAGAGTGTAATAAGCCTGTTGCTCACTTGAACCTTCCTTAGGCTTTAAAGAATAACTGTTCCTTTGTATTTTATCATCAATAAATTAGTATTTCAAAGTAATCTTAACCCTCAGACCACTTTTTATTAAATTGTTATTTTCTCACCAATCTGCTCCATGCTTTTATTCCTGTGTTATCCATTGTCTTTGGACCTTAAGTCCTTGGCTTGCTTTCCTGTGGTTGTGTTTCATTCCTTCAGAATTTTTTTCCTGTTGTATTGCAAACTCTGAGCAGAGGCTGTAAGTAATCAGCTAAAGAGCTGGGCAGCTACTATCATGGGGGCCCTGGGAACTTTGCCAATTAAATTAGTGTCACCGTCTCCAGAGAATTATTACTAGCTTTGGAGTGGGTCCTGTCACCCTTAGTTAGTTCTCTTCATCTTTGGTAATTATTACATGTTTGATCTCAGCACTCAGGAAGCCGATGCTGGCAGATTTCTGAGTTTCAGATCAGGATGATCTAGTGAGTTCCTGTCTCAAGAACGAAACAAAAAAACACACCTGTCTGAAAGGTTGTGATATGTGACACCCATGAAATATTCACTAATGATCAGAAGTTAACCTCTTCAACTCTAGGGTGGCTTTGCTCAGTGTTCTGACAGCTGTCCACATGCTTCTGAGTAACATTTACCAGCATGCCTCAGAGGCATCTCAGCAGCCCTCACTGGACTTATCCACAGGGTGTCATCACTGGAAACTAAATGAAAAGTTGATACTGCCCTTTCTTGTTAATGTCAGCCGAGCTTGTCTAAGTAGATGGGTAGTAAATTCTCCTTATTTCAACCCCCCAGTGTCTACTAGGTTACATCTTTCCCATCATGGTTAACAGAGAAGGAAAAATTCTAGTTGTGGCCAGTGTGTGTGGTGCACACCTTTGATTACAGCACTCAAGCAGAAGCAGGCAGATCTCCAAACTCCAGGCCATACTAAGTGTATTTAAAAAAAAAAAAAAAAAAAAAAAAAAAAGCTTAGAAATATCTGCTTTGCTAGTCAGATCCTGTGTTTGATGTAGCAAATGTTGTATTTTCCCTGATTGAAAGATGGTTTTAAAAAATGGTTTGTTAATTGCTATTTCCATTTTTCTAATCCTTTTTCCTTAGAAACCCACAATCTGCCAAAGCAACCTCCACTTGCCCTAGCAATGGGACAGGCCACACAATGTCTAGGACTGATGGCTCGATCAGGAATTGGATCCTGTGCATTTGCCACAGTGGAAGACTACCTACATTAGCTATGCACTTCAAGAGCTCACACTTACATTGTGGCAAATAGTCAACATGGAAGTAGACCGGCTCTGCTGATTTGAAATTTAGATTTTTTTAATTATGTACTGGGGACAGGTTTTTGTCGCTTTACATTGCTTCCTAGTTTACAGCATGATGCAAATGATTTTCTAACTTAGTGTTAGGAGAAAATATTTTCCATCTTTTAACCTCTTAGTTATCTAAGAGTTAAATATTACTGAATTTCAGACGTTCAAATTGATCATCAGAAATCCTTTAAAACAATTACCTAAAAGAAACCAAAAATCCTGCCTTCTTTGTTGGGGGGAGAAGGGGGGAGGAAATGGAACAAGTTGTGTTTGTGTTAGCATGTGGGTGATGTAAACTACAAATTGGGAGCTGTTCCGACCCCCGCTCCTGTGTAAGCATTCAATCAGTGTAACTTGCAAAATGCATAAACATCCGACAGTTTGAATTTAATAGTGTTGATGGAAGAAATCATTTTTAATGTGTACTGTAAAACTTGAAATACTCAGGAGCTGAGTGAGTATGTTTGTTGCTACTTACAATCCCGACCTGTTAGTCCCAGTAGTTTTGTTTTAACATGGTCTTTTTCAACTTTGTTTCCTGTTTAACTACAGATGACTTCTGTTGTAGACTCACAAGTTTAACTGTTGTATTATAACAGTATTACATGTCAACAGTGTGGTTATGACCTTTATTTATATAAAAACCAAATATTTAGTCAATTTACCGTGTCTTAATTTAATCTTTGTACACCTTCCATTTTTAAGTGCTTAAATGAGTACTATATTGCAATAAAAATGTAGTGATATAATTAACCAGCCATTAAAAATTTACTTCTACAGATATTAGTGTCAGTTTAATTTATGTATTAGGTCCTCATGTACTTTTTAGAGCATTTAATAAGTAATGATTCTTCCTATCAGGCCAAGTTAAAAGTCTAAAACTGCCTTCAAGTGATTACATTAGTCAAAACTATAATGTGTGTGAAAAGGAAAATAGGAATTTAACTATTATATCTATCAAGGAAACCCCCAAACTAGTTTAATAAAGTTTGAAAAAGTGGTCCAGGGCTGGCAAGTTGGCTCAGCAGGTAAAAGGCCTTTGCTACCAAGTCTGACTTGAATTCAACCTCTGGAACCACATGGTAGGGAGGAATCAATGTATTGTCCACTGACACATCGTCATGCATGTGTGCACGAACACAGCTTTTTCTTTTAAGAAAATCCAAACAAAAACAAACCCATTTATATCAGATTTAATCTACTGCTGGACAAAGGTGCTGGCTAAAGTTTAAGTCTTCCCCAACAGTTACTTATTTGCCTACTTTTGGGGCATCCCCCTTTGCCCATGTTTTTTAGCAATGACTTCTTATTCCCTAACAGGAGAAACCACAACAATAATGCCAGAATAGCTTTTTAGCCTTCCTGAGGACTTCATGGATGGTCTCTTTTTTATCCCTCTTCTTGTACCTACACAAGAGTGATCCTTTTAAACCACTTTTCCCTCTAGTACGCTCAAAAGTATTCCAGAAAGAAATATAGCCAGTTACTTTCCCAGACAAAAACGTTTATGTTTTTTATAATAGTCCTTTACAGTGATTTACGGATAGCTAGGTTTTGAGACATTGATCCTCTTTACACCAAACACCCTTAAATTCTATACACACAGTACAGGTCCTTCCTTTAGCTTTACTTCAATTCACTTGTAGGTTTTCTTTTTCATCCTTTTAGCCATCCACCGTTTTTTAAACCTCTTGGCATTTTGTTGTTTCTGAGCACCTACAAGAGAACAGAAAGCTTCATATATACCAATATCCAATAGGCTTTACTTAAAACCCCAAGAAACATAAAATTATTTTCTTTTTAAAATGACTAGGAGTCAAGAGACGACTTCCATCTTACCCCAGGTACTATTGAGAAACTGGGCTGCAGCCTTTTTCACTGGTAGCCTCTTGTTGTTCAGTGACAGGAACTTGTTTACTAAAGGGAAGAAAAGAATTACTTATCATTTATTTGTCATTGAGAGAGAGAGAGGAGAGAAACAGGAGATAATTACCAGTAGTCCTCTTGGATTCTGAACCATATAAACAATTGTGGATGAAGTGTTTGGCTGCTTCTTGCCTTGAATCTCTCAGTTCTTGATCTTGTAGCCTTACAGCCAAGTAGCTTTTAGTCTGACTGGTGATCAATACAAAAAAGATCAGAATGAATTAGAGGGTACATGTTCGTTCTCCTATGTAATTGTATGTACACGTGTATATGTGGTACTGAGGAGCTGCATCCTTTGGGGCTGGGGGTGAGGGTTATTGAACCCAGAGCCTCACAACTGCCAGGCAGGGACTATTTCTGTGACTCCCAGTCCCTACATGACTTCACTTTGAAATAATCATTTTGTTGATGGGAGATGTCATTCTGTAAATATATTTCTCTTATTGGTTAATGAATAAAGCACTGGTGGCCAATAGGGAAGCCAATGGGCGGGACTAGGAGGAGAGAGGAAGTAGTAGGGAGGAGATCCAAGATGGAAGATAGAGAGAGCAGAACTCCAGCCCCTCTCTCCCTGTCCTGCCAGCAAAAGAGCATTCCCAGCCTCCTCCTCAGACCTAGTTCCACAGGTCACTTCCGCCCCTGGCTCCACCCACAATGGGCATGGTCGGTGCCACAGAAGCAGACAAAGTGAGTATCTCACTACAATTTTTTAGTCTAAAGAAAAGATCTACATTTTGTTCTTGCTCATCAACTGTCAAATGATTGTATGTGGTACAAAATACAGCTAAATCACATAATATAAAAAGAAAAATACATTAACACATTTTAAGGCAGCAAATAAATGTTACCATCAAAACTGTTATTTTTCTATAAATAACCCAATATGATACACTACTATTTTCTACTTTCCCCTCATACACCAAAATTTTAAAAAAGAAACTTCACATTCCAGTAGGAAAACAGAACAAAACTCATTACCTGGCAGAGTGCACTTTTTGTATTTTAACTTTGTTGGAGTTTCTTCCTTTTGCAATGTGTTCGCTTTTCTTTTTCAAATGAACTGAAAAATTAAGATCCACTTTGTGAATAGTATATAAACACTTTAATGGTCAGCACTTCAGTGACTACATACCATGTAAGTACAGGTTTTATTTGGGAGAAATAATGGGGAATGGGCTTAAGCCAACGTTGGCCAGGCCTAAGGGCCACAAACAACCATGAATACATGCAAATGATCTCACCCTTACATGAAAAGTTACTTAAAGGAGAACAATTCATACCTTTTGCGTTTTCTGGTGATTTCTTTATGCTATGGGGTGGGGGAGTTTAAAAAAAAAAAAAAAAGCTCAGAACAGCAGGCAGTAAAGAATGCTCAAAAAAAGTAACATACAATCCCCTTCCAGCTTTCATGACCACTACCCCTAATTTTCACTAGTCACGACACACAGCACTGCCAACTTAGTAAACTACACAAGCATGGAGTATCTTCTCAGAATTTAAATCTGAGCACTGTCAATAGGCATCCGAAAGAGTGCACTCAGTATTCTGAAAAGCTCAGGAACAACCCAGAAACTGTTTATATAACTTAGGACTCCAAATAGCAAATAAAAAGTAGGACTTCTCTCAATAATGAGAAATAACAGTTCAACAGTTTGGATACTGCAGACAAAAGAGAAGCGCCAGACAACTATCAAATGCCTAAACTGCCTCAGAAACGATGAGGCAACTGTACAGATCAAAAGGAGAGAGAGAGAGAGAGAGATCAAAAGGAGAGAGAGAGAGAGAGAGAGATGTGAGAAGGGTTGGCACTTGAACTTGGCTGTGACAGGGACTTCAAACACCTGCTTACATGCCTTGTGGAATTCAAGATCTGAACAATATGGAAAAATAACAAAGATTTCAGGGTTTACACTAAGGCTGAATGTGGTACTGCACACCTTTAATCCCAGCACGGAGAGGCAGAGGCAGACAGATCTGAGTTTGAGGACAGCCTGGTCAACAGATGGTGTTACAGGACAGTCAGGGCTACATAGAGAAACCTTATCTAGAAAACCGAAAGAATGCACCAAGGAGTAAAGAGGTAGAGGAGTAAATTCAGTTGGAAATATAAACGTAACTCGAGCTTTGGGTTTTAAACACAGACCACAGCACAAAGCTGCTAGATGAAATGGGGACAAAGAAGGATGGCCACAGGTAAAAACCAGCTTTAAAAAAAGTTTCCATTTTTAGGTGTTAAGTCACTTTACCATCTATCCTGCTGGCCAAAGTTTACTTGGTAGACTGGGATCAGGAACTCCAAAACCACTCTAGCTTTTAAGGTTGGGCAAATTTCTTCAGTTAATGCAGACATATCAAAAATGGCTCTACTAAGTAGAAGCCCTGTGACTTACTCAGCTTCTGAAGCTGTAGTGAGTTGCTCTAAAACAGCATCTGGAAGCAGCTTTCTTTTCTTTTGGAATAAAGACATTTGAAGACAAAGTTAACAGTGATGTACACATATTCCCGGAGTTGCTTCTAAAACCTTACTCATTCCAAACAGCCCTGCATTCCGGCCAACTCTGCCCTGCTACTTCTTAACCATCAGGAAAACTGGGCTTACAAGGCCCACAACATTCTCTGTAATTGTGCCCGCAGTAGCTCAAAGTTCAAGCGTCCCTGTTATGAAGAGAAAGGTCTCAGGCATGGCAGCCACTTTGAGGTCAGATCTCTGGGGTGTGACATTTTTGTGCCATTTTTACTTTAAAAAATCACTTAAAAGTTTCAGAGCCCTAGCTTTAGACTAAAGGGAACCCCACTACCTCTGCAAGCCTTAAAGGCCAACACGTCGAGGCCAGGTGAGTGCCAGCGCCTCCACGCCCACTTTGAGCTAGGGCAGACACCCGCAGCCCTTGCTGGCCCGCTCCAACGTCCAAGCCCCCAAAGAGCCTGGAGCTAGGGAACTCAGCCGCCGCCGTTTTCCCGCCCCAACCTTCTGCTCGATGAAGAGCTCCTCGCGCCGCTTCCTCTTCTCCTTCAGCAGCGTTTTATCCCTGGAAGAAAACGGGGTCGGATCAGCGCGGGGCGAGCCCAGCGAGCCTCGAGGTCTCGGGTTCCCCGCCGCGGGCGCCGCACCTGCGAGCACTCTCGCGCACGCGCAGCTCCTCCTCCCTCGCTTCCGCCTGAGCGCAGGCGAAAGTCAGCTCCTCCGGGGCTTCGTCGTCCGCGTCCTCGTCCTCGTCCAGCGGCTCGGCCGCCGCGCCGCTGCTGGGCTGCCCGAGGAGCAGGCCGTGCTCCGCCTCCTCCTCCTCCGAGGCCGGCTGGTCCTCGTCCACCATCGCCTCCGCCGGCGCGGGGACGCGCGACGAACGCGGCCGCAGCTGCACCATGGCAAACGGGAAGGGGGCTGCCTGACCCTTGACCCGGAAGCAGCCGCTAGCTATGCCTCTCTCCACGCCCCCTGTTGGTTCGGAGGCCACAGGACTGGTCTAGGCGCGTGCGCGGGAGGAGGGCGGGACTCCCCGCGGGGGTGTGACCCGGAAGACAGTCTGGGTAGGAAGGGACAGAATCGCGTTTGCTCAGTGTCGCTCTCTGTCTTGGTTTGTGGGTTTGTTTGTTTGTTTGTTTTTGTTGTCGTTTTGGTTTGTTTCTCCACAGGTTGGTCTGATCAATGGAACAGCGTCAATAAATACTTAATTACCGTCACTGCTGTAGGGTTCCTCCCGCTGTGTATTCTGGGCGTAAGCGGCTCTGTGGTCTCTGTCTCTTAACCCATTATATAATACGAAATGATCTTCATTCCCTGTTCAAGCCGTGCATTTGGATAAGCTGTCATCTTTGCTGAGTTCCCCGACGAAGAACTGTTGACACTTTCTACCTCCCACCAAGGCTAAGTTCAAGGACCGCAACATCCACTCCATGGCAGCGCTGGCGTGTCTAGTTACACTATTCTCTGAACCTTGCACGCGTTTCTGTCATTGTCCCACACTCTGGAATTAGTTCACGTACCAGTTGCTTCAACCACTCTGAAATCATTGATTTCTAATGTCTATTATACAGTATATGTTCAAGAAATGGTTAGTTACATCATATGTTCTTTGTATTTATAAAGCTTACTTACTTAGAAGCGATTTCCAATTTTAAAAGCAAGTCCATACTTGCTTTTAGGGGGGGGGGAAATGACTAAGTAGTGTTGGAGAAGAGGTAGGCAGAGAGGGGAGGGGAGGCCGTGAGCTGGATGGGGCCAGGGCGGGGGTCTCTGAAACCTCTGGGGGGCCTTGAGTAAATGAAAACCATGCTCCGAGTCAGGCGCAATAACACACGACTGAAATCCCAACACTCAGGAAACAGGCAAATCTTAAATTCCAGGCCAGTCTGGGCTAAAGTGAACCATATCTCAAGAAAATAAAAAATGTTTGGGACAGTATGCTGACCCCTACCATGGGAAACGTTAAGCTGAGGCCCAATGACAACCCTATTAAGAGCACACAATGGTACTGTATGTACAAAACCCACATTAAAAGTATCACAGAAGGATGAGCAATGGTGATACATGCACTTAATCCCAGCACTTGGGAGGCAGAGGCAGGCAGATCTCTGAGTTCGAGGCCAGCCTGGTCTATAGAGCGAGTGCTAGGATAGGCTCCAAAGCTACACAGAATAACCCTTCCTTAATATCACAGAGGGCTGGAGAGATGGCTCAGAAGATAAGAGAACCTGCTGCTCTTCCTGAGTTTGGTTCCCAGAACTCATGTCAAGCAGATCATAACCATCTGTAACTCTAGCTCCAGGGGCTCCAACACCTCTAGTTGCTGCAGTACACATACCCATTGCAGACAAACACACTTAACAGCTAGTTTTTTATAAAGGTTTCACTGAAATTATTACGGGCCCTTAGCTGTACAGCCTTTGGTCCCATCTAATGTATGATTCTGGAGGTGCCTGTCTAGTTCTCCAGACAGACTTCCAGTAGGTGGGAGAAAGTATCTTTTTGTTTTGTTTTTTGTTTTGTTTTGTTTTGTTTTGGATTTTCAAGACAGGGTTTCTCTGCATTGCCTTGGGTGTTGTCCTGGAACTCGCTCTGTATACCAGGCTGGCCTCAAACTCACAGAAATCTGTCTGCCTCTGCCTCCCGAGTGCTGGGAGATTAAAGGCATGCGCCACCAATGCCCGGCTTTTTTGGACACAAAGGACTTTTAGGATATGTTACAAATAAATGTCACATACTGTACACGAACTATACCTTGTTGCCCGTGGTAGATCATTTCAATTGTCAGTCTGGTTGGTTTAATAAACACTGAGGAGAGCCATGAAGTCCTGAGAGAATGTGCATTGTTGACATGGGCTTAGCTCTGTCAATGTAAAGCTCCCTCCTCCTGGGTGACTCTGACCTGAGATTGCTCCCATGCAGAGACAGCTGAACCTCTCCTCCTTGTGCTGCAGGTAATACACTTGCTGAGTCTCCAGGCTGCATAGAAGGCGCCCTCCATCAGAGTGACACAACCAACCCAACCCCAGCTTTTCTGACTGTGTCTCTGTCTTTTGTTCCTTTCCAGCCATGCTGCAGCACTCACCGAGCACATTAATGAGACATGCCTTCCGGTGAGCCTGTAGGGAATTCCCAGAGAGGATTAACTGAGGAAGAAATACCCTGAATGTGAGGAGTGGAGTGCTGGGAGTCCTTTTCTCTACTTCCTAGGCAGCCACAGACCAAGTCATTCCCTCTACCATGCTTTCCCTGATAGGCTACATTCCTTTGAACTGTGAGTCAAGCTAGACCTTTCAACCTTTACATTCATTTGTATTAGGTATTTTGGTCATAGGCGTGAGAAAGGTAACTAATGACAGAAGCTTGGGGTACTAAAATGAATGGAGTTAGCTGGGCGTTGATGGCGCACACCTTCAATCCCAGCACCTGGGAGCAGAGGCAAGTGGATCTCTGTGAGTTCGAGGCCAGCCTGGTACACAGCGCTAGTTCCAGGGCAGGCTCTAAAGCAATACAGAGAAGCCCTGTCTCGAAAAACAAACAAACAAACAAACAAACGAATGAATGGAGTCTTGAGAGGGGCTGAGGTAAGGCAGCCCAGATACGGTACATAGTTACCCGGGGAACTGACTGGGTCCAAGGGAGAGCATTGTGCATGTTCTTTACCCTCTTCACTAGGCCACTCCTCTCTAGGCCTTGAATCCCTGCGGTGATTCAGGTCCAGTGCTGCAGAAGCAGTTGGGGCTCAGAGACAATGCAGCATTCTTGTTATTAAACTGCAGAGTAAAAAGCCATTTTCAAGGTCCCATGGAGATCATAATCCGGTGGAGACCACATGATCCCTCATTTATGACACTAAGTGATGACGTAGACCAGCAGAGATGGTCATCCATCACTTCCTTCCCTCAGAGGCAGCTCATCTACTTTATCCTGGATTTGCATTTTTCTTTTGCTCATCCTGACATTTCTACTTGGTTATTCCTTGTCTTCCCTTGCATGAGTTCTTGCTGGAAGTTAGTCCATACTATTTAAGGTAAGGCATACAAGCCAGACAAATACTGAAAAGAAAGGAAAAAAAGTTCCCGACAAAGGCAGCTCTTGGAGGAACGTTGCTATACAATAAGTTACCAACCTTAAAGAACGGTTTTATTTCCACAAAAAATTTGTGCAAAGAAAAAAAAAGAAATACTAGGGTTTAACTTTTAGCATGTTAATGGATGCTAGATGCAAACAATCAGCATAATTACCTTCGTCTCAAGCAATTTAATTACAAATTGTTCTTCCTAGTAACTGACCAAGAACAGCAAATCCAAAATACTCCTTTTTCTGTTGAAATCAAATAATATGGACGAACTTGACAGTCTGTCAACCTCTCCAGAGAAAACACATTTACTGTTGGTGTTTTGAAGCCCAATTACTTCATAGATTGACTGTCCTCTGGGGGCTCAAAGGACATGTTTAGATTTCCCAAAGTTCAGCTCACCATCCACAAAACCTCCTCTCCTGTTAGTGCCCTGGTTATGTGCTACACAGTCCAAGGGACTATTAAGACACCCTTTCAGTTTCATGAGGAGCGAGGGCTTCGGGAAGAGTTGTCCCACAGGGTCCTGGAAAATGAAACCTAAATAGAAGAAGCAATAGAGCAGAATTAGGAAGTACAAGTTAACAAAATGAACACACAACTACAGCTGATAACACGCATCTAATGGTGTTGTACCTTTTTCTTTTCTTTTTTTAAATTTTTCGAGACAGGGTTTCTCTGTGTATCTTTGGCTGTCCTGGAACTCACTCTGTAGATAAGACTGGCTTTGAACTCACAGAGATCCACCTACCTCTGCCTCCCGAAGTGGTGTTTTAAATTTTTATTGCCTTTTTTTTGTGTGTGTGGTGGGGGAGGGAGGACAGACAGGGTCTCACTATGTAACCCTGGCTGGCCTGGAACTTGTAGATCAGGCTAGCATTGAACTCACAGAGATCAGCCAGTTTCTACCTCTCAAGTGCCAGGATTAAAGGTGTGTGCCACCAAACCTAACCTTCATGGACTTCTTTAAAGCCAAGTTCTGACAATACTAAATGAACCCATCACAGACAACTGTCTAAAGTCTGTGTGCTGTAAGACTTTTATTGTGACAGGTGATGGAGGTATGATTGCAGTGTGTTTTACCATAGTAATGCCAAATTCATGAGTGAAATTATATACACGTATCCATACTTACAAATATGAAGATGCAAATGGGTGGAAAGATATTCCATGTTCATGGGTTTGAGGAAAATAATATTGTTAAAATACCTATACTATAATATAATCCTTATTGCAATTCCAATGTCATTTTTCATGATAGATATAGATAAAACAATCCTAAATCTCATAGATACATACACAAACCATAAATTTATGAGAATAATGAACAAAGCCAAAGCCTCTACAGTAGATGACTTCCTCACAATGTAGTACAAAGTGAGTGAAATTAAAATAGCATGATACAGGAATAAAGATAGACATATCAGCCAGCATTACAGAGTAAAGTTCAGAAATCAATCCCTAGATCTACAGTCAACTGGCATCATAAATCTACCAGTGACACAACGGGGAAAGAAAGGTCTTTTTAATAAATGGTGTTGGTAAATTACATATCCACATGATGAGAAATGAAATTGGACCCTCGTCTCAGACAATATACAAAAAGCAATTCAAAACTACTGTAAGAAAATACTAGTCAAGACAACAGCTTTTAGATTTGATTCTTAAAACACAGGCCACAAAAGCAAAAGTAGACAAATGTGACTATATAAAATTAAAATGAGCTTGGTGAATAGCCCAGCGATTGGACACTGTGCTGTGCTATCCTAGGCTATATCCCTGTCATTGGAAGAAGACTAAATAACCACTTGGGAATAATATGTGCTATATTTTAGATGGACTTGGTGAATATGCCTATAATTCCTGGACTTATGAGGCTAAGGCAGGAGAGTCATGAGTTTGAGGCCAGACTGGGCTATGCATTAAACTAAACTAAAACTTACTTAGCATGCTTCACAGGCTCTGAGTTCAAACCCCAACATAAAATAAAGTAGAAAATAAATAGGTGGTGTGGTAATATATTATTTATAAATTATTAAAGCTTGCCTGAAGATACAGAAAGCAAAGTCAGCCATACTAGTTAGCTATGGAAGCCAGGCAGTGGTGGTGCACACCTTCAATTCCACCACTTGGGAAGTAGAGGCAGATGGATCTCTGTTAGTTCAAGGCCACACTGAGCTACATGAAATTGATCCAGTCCTAAAGAGAAACAGCTCACACAAAGATGATCTCAGCATTTGGGATCACATGCCTTTAATCCAGCACTAGGGAGGTGTAAAAAGCAAAGAGTCTCATGTGGAGATTGATTTTCCAGCCATGCTGAGAGACAGCAGTCTGAAGCTTGGTGGAGAGCTTGTGGAGACAGGATCAGCCCTTTCAGCAGGATGTAGAGGTAAGAGGTAAGAGGTAAGAAGTAGTGGCTTGGCTGCTTTGCTTTTCTGATCTTCAGCTTGAAACTTGAACCCCAATATCAGTCTTTGGGTCTTTTATTATTCATGATACAAGGAGTGACTAGAGCAATGGCTCCACAGCTAAGAGAGTGTATTGCTCTTGCAGAGGATTAGGGTTTGGTTCCCATAACCCACATCTTGCAGCTCATCACAGCCAAAAAGCTCTGGCTTCCATAGGCATCTGCACCTGTGTATACATACTCTCACACAGACACATAGACATATACCTATGCATAACTAAAATAAAAGAGTTCCTGTCAAGAATCCATGATCATTAGTTAAAGTAGAAACAGCTACCTCCAGCTATAAATGCTGGTTTTTGCTTTGTTTTATTCTTAAGAGCTGGGAAGATTAAAGGAATACCAGGAAAATTATGAGGATGAGGAAAGGTGAGCTCCTGTAAGCAGATCCCATCTCAAATGGAAGGCCTGTGTGTTAACAAACACAGCAAAGAAATAAAGCTAATGAGCATTCAATTGTGTTTTAAATAAAGATATATAATATATATACATATATATATACTAGTATGTAGTTATATATAATATTTATATGTATAATATAATTATATATTTACTATAATATGTATACATAACATCATATATAGTTATATATATGAAATATATAATTCAAGGCATGCATGTGTCCTTTTTCTTTAGACTTCCCTTAAGTAAACTTTTAGGTTAAGAGATCAATAGGAGCCAGGCAGTGGTGGCTCACACCTTTAAACCCAGCACTTAGGAGGCAGAGGCAGGCGGATCTCAGAGACCAGGCAGCCTGGTCTACAAAGAGAGTTCCAGGACAGACTCCAAAGCTACACAAAGAAACCCTGTCTCAAAAAGCACAGCCCCCTACCAGAAGGCAACAAGATGGCTGAGAACATGACCGGTCCAAGTCCTGAAAGGCTCCAAACAGAGCTGTGATGAGCAGACAGCCCATCTCTGTTTCAGCCGTGTACAAATCTTGGCATTGCAAGGACCCTTGAGGATCAGTCAGTCAAAACATTAAGGTAAATCAGAAAATGCCTTATATTTTCTGTAATAGCGATCAGGCAGGAAAGCCATCTGGATGGAGAAATGGTGCCTCTCACCTACAGGTAAAGACCGTGACCACGCCTACTTGAAAACTACAAAGGATAAAGTGTAGAGAAGGGTATAAAGTGCCAGTGTGAGAAGCAAAAGTTCTATGGAAACTCCCATGCAGTGAGACACAGCTGCCCAGTCTGCCGTTAAAGGTTTTTTGTTCTTTCCTAAAAGTCAACTGCAAATCAACCTCCCTTCTTTGCCCTCATTCTTCTTGCTCTCCTCCTTCATAGAAAGCAGAACTGTACACTCTATTGGGATTACAGCTCCAAGTCCACCTTCTGTAGTGAGATATCTACCCCACCCGCACCTGTTGCACTGACCAGGCCCATTCGGCATGGGAACAGGTGTGGGCGTGACCTGGAGGGACTTGGTCTGGGGTCCCAGACCCCAGCTCTCTTGCTTCCCGATCAGAGACAGAGAGCATCCGGAGGCATCCTTGGGATGGGAACCTGCGGGTGGTCATCTGTTTCTGGTGTAAGTGATTTCTCCCCAAATAAACATCCATCAGCCTATTATCTCCCAGATTCTTATCTATCCATGTTATAATCCTCCACTTCCCATCACCCAGCTTTGGCAGTTCCTCCCTGTACCTGAATCTGTTGGTGGCTGGGGTGGTTTCCATGTTAAACTCAGCCACTGGGACTCCCCTGGAAGCCACCTGAGGGGCAAACATGGCAGCTGGGTAGACCACAGAGGACGTCCCCACCTACAAAGCAAGTGGACAATGAATGCACTAGGTGAGATGAGACATAATGGAAGCTTACTCAGGCAGGGACATGGATGGAGGTGTGAGGAAAACTAAGCTGGGTGACAGAAGATACAGTATGGAGATAAGTAAAGGGCATGACCTGGCTTTGGTGTTTGGCCAATCACTGGAAGTGGGGACGAACCATGTGACACAAAAGGACAGTTAGTTAAACGAGTAGATAGAGAAGCAAAGAAATGACCCAAAGGACATGTTAAGGGATCCCTTTTGCTCTGGTCTTGGAAGTTGTGCAAATGATCCATGTTCTTTTGTTAATGTGGGAAATAATCAATGTTAACATTTTGACGTGCACACACACCCTTCACAGGAATGGAAAGGCCACAACACATTCTGTAAACCAGGGTTTCTCTCAGATGACCACCATGACCACAGAGGCTGCACTCAACATGGGACGTACACAGTAAAGACAGAATGGAAATAGACCCACCACAGGGGGCCTCTGCTTTTAAAGAGACCGAACTGGGCATGCTCGTTCTAGTTAATCCCACCTTTAGGGAATGTGTTCTAAGAATATTGCTTGAGGAACATGCTAAGATTCCCACCTACATGTATTCATGCAACGTTACTTCAAATACCAAAATTTGAAACATCCTAAGTTGGACCTAGAGTCTACAGACCTGTAATCCTAGCATGTGGGAGGTAGAGGCAGGAGGATGAAGAATTCTAATCTGGCTTTGGCTATGCAGTGATATGATGCCCTCCTGGGATACATTAGACACTATTCAAAAAAGAACCTGAAACAACCCAAACGTCAATTAGAGGATTTTCTCACTATATCATTGTGTACTAGAAAACCATACAGTAAACTAAAAGATGTGACAGCTTTGGATATGTTGACATGGAATATGCCAACTGAGTTATTAGACGAATAAAACAGCCTTGAGGCAGAATGTATATTATGTGTATTTGATGTATATACATCTACATAAGGGAGGGTTTAAGCCAGAAGTGGCCAACTTTTCAGAAAGAGCCATACAATAAAATGGTAGACTCTATATACCATCCAGGCTCTGCTCAACTCTTGGTCTAGAAAACATCAAAATGCTACCAATGATTATCTCCAGGTGGTATAATGTGGCGATTTCTAATTTCCTTCTTATGCTTTGATTCTTTCATATTTTATCAATGACATACATTTAATAATGAGCATGCATTATATTTAAAATCTAGGCCAAGGCTGGCAAGATGACTGAAAAAGCCCAGTGACCTGTTTGTCCCTTAGAAGCCATGTGAAGGCAGAAGGAGAGAACTGCCCTACAATGTGTCCTCTTGCTTCCACACATGCATGTGGCACGCTCACACACAAACATCATGCATACACATATGGAAGATAAAGAAAATCCAATGCTCTCCCAATGGCGTTATAATCGTATATTACATCTCTAAGTGTATACTGCTCTAAAAAGCCATGTTCCTTTTGTTAGTTTGTGGGCAAAGAGGGACGTTTAAAGGTGATCACAACATGGCTGTGCAGTTTTGTATTTTAAGATCAGTTCTTGGGGCTGGAGAGATGGCTCGGTGGTTAAGAACACTTGCTGCTCTGCCAGGTGACCCACATTTAATTCCCAGCACCCATGCCAGGTGGCTCACAACTATTTGTACTCCAGGAGATCCAAAGGCCCTGGCCTCTGAGGACACTGAGCTCACATGCTGATACACAGACCTAAACATGATTAAAAGTAATAAGACCGATCTTTTTAAAAGATTATTTCTTAAGCTGGAGAGATGGCTCAGAGGTTAAGAGCACTGGCTTCTCTTCCAGAGGACCTGAGTTCAATTCCCAGTAATCACATGGTGGCTCACAACCATCTGTAATGAGATCTGGCACATTCTGACCTGAAGGAATGAATGCAGATAGAACACTATATACAATAAATAAATATTTTTTAAAAAATTAGTTATTTATTGTTTCTGGGATTTTTGTTTTGTTTTTGTTTTTCCTGTAGGACACTATGAGACTTCCACACACATCTTCCAGGGGAGGAAGAAGTGAGGGGGTGAAGGAGAAAAGGAGGAAGAGAAGTGATAGGACAAGGAAGAAGGGAGGGAGATGGGAACCAAACACACTCCATCCCAGTCTTCCCAGGGCCTGGAGACTAGGGACAGGTGTGACCTACCACTAGACACAGGTCACAGAGGGCGAGCTCTCTGTCCACCTCCTCCAGAACAGCAGGATCCAGGTTTTCTCCGAACCACACCACATGAGGTCGCAGCAAGCCCCCGCATCCTGCCTCCTCACACCTGGAAGAACATCAGCCTTCAGGCATCTCTAACTGCATGGGCCAAGACTGCCCGGGATCCCAGGAGATGGGAGCTTGCCCTGGGCTGCCCGGGATCCCAGGAGATGGGAGCTTGCCCTGGGCTGCCCGGGATCCCAGGAGATGGGAGCTTGCCCTGGGCTGCCCGGGATCCCAGGAGATGGGAGCTTGCCGTGGATGTGGGGCACTCAGGTGACTTGGCCCTATTAAGTTCTTATCTTCATTCACCGAGCTGTATAGACACTGCTTCAGCTAAGCTTGACCTTCTCGCTCTTTTCCACCTCACTCTGCCTCTTGGTGGAACCGGGGCTCTTCGTGCGGCAGAGCAGAGGTTCTATCAACAGACAGCTCTCCCCAGCTTCCTGTGACTTTTTCCTTCAAGACAGTTTGGTTGGATTGTCACAGCTGACCTTGAACTCCCTTGTGGGCCTTGTGATTCTCCTACCTCAGGCTTCCTGGCCTGGTCTACAGACTGAGTTCCAGGACAGCCAGGGTAAGCCTGAGAAACCCCGTAGGGACGGAGTATTTCTTCTTTCACTCCCTACCACCTATAGGTAATACAGTCTAGGTTTATGTCTACTATATATCAGCTTCGCCTTCCTAACGTCCTGCTCAGGAAACTTCTAGAATCCCTTAATCTTTTCATATTGAAACTTCAGAATTTAGTAATGAAAAGCCACATTTTTTTTAAAAAAAAGAAATGAAGAAAAGAGAGAGAGAGAGAGAAATGAAAAGGGTCTCTGGTTAAAATAAACCAAAGAAGGATCGATATAGTATAATGACTTTTTAGAAAGCACCAATTCAGGGCTCGAAAGATAGCTCAGTGGTGAAGAACACACTGCTCTTGCAGAAGACCCAAGCTAGTCTGGTGGCTCACACCCATCTGTGCCTTGCGCTCAAGGGAATCCAAAGGCCTCTGACCTCCGAGGGCACAGCACCCAAGGGTGCATACTCATATAGAGAGATATATGTGAAAATCAATGTGTTTAAACTTAAACCTGTTTTGTTTTGTCTTTAGAGACAGGATGTCAATAAGTAGCTTTAGCTGTCCTGGAACTCAATTTGTAGACCAGGCTGTCCTGAAACTCAGACACCCACCTGCCTTTGCCTCTCCAGTGCTGACATTAAAGCCATGGGCTCACACTCACTGATTTGTATATGTGCACACGTGCACCTGGGTACTGATGCTCTTGCCTGTACATTGTGTATGTGGAGAACAGAGGTCGACTTGGGGATCTGCCCCTATCATTCTCCATATCCTTTGCTGAGAGAGGTCATTGAACCTGGGGGTTGCTGTTTTGTCTAGACCGTACAGCCCCGGAATCTGTCTGCCAGCATGGGTTTCCAGGCACTCATGGCAATACCTGGTTCTTCTGTGGGTCTTGAGAATCCACATTTAGGTTCTCAAGCTTGCCTAGCAAACACTTTACACACTGAACATCTTCCAGTCCCCAAAAAACACCCTTTGGGCACACTGTTTCGATCTCTGGTTTTGAAAAACTGACATTTTAAAACTATAATGTACTTTATAACATACAAGACCATGTTTTAATCATTTTAGATTTATTTATTTTATGTGATGGGTGTTTTGACTCCATTTAAGTATGTACATCATGAGCATGCAGTGCCCTAAGAGGCCAGAAGAGGGCATCAGATTCCCTGGAACTGGGATTACAGCCACCTTGTGGATACGGGGATTTGAACCCAGGTCCTCTGGAGGGGCAGCCAGTGCTCTTAATTGCTGAGCCATCTCTCCAGTCCCATTTCCCCTCCCCTATAATTTCATCCTTGCAAGAACTTTGCCACCTCCTCAGTCTTGGACTGGGAGTCATGTGGAGGAAGAGGAGGTGGATTATTTACTAATTATACTATAAATATACTATAATTACAAAATTACAATTATACTGTGCTTCCTGTGTACAGATCATCAGTCACATAACTGCTTCATAAACAGATCAAGGAATCTATCAGGACTCAAAGAGACATCAAAGATGGGCAATGTATTTGTAACTACTCAGGCCTCAGGCTGAGGCAGGAAGATCACTTGAGCCTAAGAGTTTGAGGCCAGCCTGGGCAACACAGTGAAACAGGCTCTTTACAAAGGACCTGGAAGATGTTTCATTTTTTTGTCCTTTCACCCCTGGACCCAGAAGTCAGGGATAATTGTTGCATCTGTACATTTAAAAGGCATCTCTCTCTCTCACACACACACACACCAAGTTGAGATTTTGATTTCTAACTTTTCTGAAATCTTGAACACCAGCTATACAACCGTTTTTTACTTACCGGGGAAGTTTGTCGACTGGGATTCTGGCATCCTGAGTTTCTGGTTCTGGAGCCCTGGAGCAAATAGTGTGAAAGAGATGAATGTCAGTGGTAAAAATCAGAGAACAAAGGAAGAATGTGACATATCCTTTGTGTATTGCCTGGCAGTATACGGCACAAATTATGCTCATGCATGCTAACTTAGGATCATAAAAGCATGGCCCCTAAATACTGACCATTGGCTTTGCTTCAAGAGGGAATTTGTGTAGGGGAGAGTCTCCATGGGGTGATTGATGCTTCTCCAATGAAATTATGTTAGTATTTTATTTTTGTAAGTTTATACTGCTCTGAAAGGGTCCAGAAGAATTTTTTCTCAGTAGTTTGAGATGATGCCTAAATTGTTTCTAATTGTAACAATAATACACATTCATCATAAAAATGTTGGGACATTTCCAATGATATGGATGAGAAATAAAAATTACCCATATTTTCATTCTTCACAGTCACAGTCAATCCTTTCCTGTATTTTCTTGTGGCCTTTTAGTTAATATAGAGATACATGAAGATGGGGTGTGAATTTGTATGAATAAAATTTGGGGATCACACAGCAAATACTCTGGCATCTTATAGTTTTTACTTAGCGTGGTAACTTATAAGTCAAATATTTCTTTCATCAGATAGCTGTACAGTGTCTAGTCTTGTGCATTAGAAATATCCATGAGAGTCTTCAATGAACAGTCAATGTCCTCACATTCATGCTCAATTCACGGAGAAATGACATTGATTCTGCAGGACAATATAATTACCCCTTTCCTGCTAAAGCTGGACAAATTGGACTCTTGTAATTCTCAGCCACAGTGCCACACGAGGTACACCGAGTTTTAAATAAGGTTCCTGAAAGAAAAGACATGTGTCAAGCAAGTTCAGAACTTAGTATCGTGGAGAGCAAAGTCTCCATGTTTGGGAGGTTAGAAAAGAATTCATCTTCCTATGTTCATTTTTCATGAGTGGGTCTACCCTAGGAATCATGGGAAATATAAAAACATGCTACCTTAGTCACTGCTCTGTTGCTGTGAAGAGAAACCATGACCAAGGCAACGGTTTAAAAGAAAGAATTAAATTGTGGGTTAGTCTATTATCATTGTGCCCGGGCCTGGCGGAAGCATGGCTGCCCTCACGGCACTGGGACAGTAGTTGATCCACAAGCAGCGAGGGCAATGCTGGGCCTAGTGTGGGCTTCTGAACCCTCAAAACCCTTTCTCCATACTTTCTCCACAAAGGCCACGCCTCCTCATTCTTCTCAAATAGGGCCCCTCCCTGCTGACTAAGCATTCAAATATATGCGCCTAAGGGAGTCATTTTTATTCAAATCAACTCACACGAACTACTGTTTAACCAACCCAAACCAAACTCCTTCAAAGATGTCATGAGTTGGAGGGGAAATAACTACATGGCTAACACCCCCTAGATGACCCTGGGGTGATGTTCAGAGATAACTGAAGAGATGAAGAGGGAGGCAACCGCTCAACCAGAAGCTAAGAGTCTGAGTTACTAAGTGGGTGCATAATTACAAAAGGCCAATGGGCTGGAGAGACAGTGCCGCTGCTAAAGGTTTAGGCTCACACCTTAAAAGACAATTATTTAGAGCGCATAAAATCTTTGGTTTAATAGAATTTGAATCTTTCCTACCAAAGAAACTCACTAAATAGGCAATTAACTAATAGTTTAAAATAACAGATAGTAATAGCAACCATTTACAATGCGATGATGGTGGCTGCAGTTCAGAGTTGCTGTATGCTCGGGCCCTCTGAGCTATATACCCACAGGGCAGAGAGGATTGTAGCCTGCCTACTCTGCCTTCTTTGGCGTGCTTCCCCCTCCCCCCAGCCCCGCCCCTGCCCCTCTACCCAGAGCTGCTGGAACCATCAATCACATGACAAATCTAAGCCTGGCCACATGCTTCAGACTAGCACATTCACAGTATGTCACTCTGGCAGTGGTGTGTGACCCAAGAGAAGAACTCAAGACGTTAGGGTTAGCAGTGACAGTTAACCCTGACTGTCAGCTTGACAGACTTTATAATCGCCTAGCATGTGCACCTCTGGGCATGTCTATAAAGATGTTTCCAAAGAAATTCAGCTGAGAGAGGAAGCCCAGGCTGGAGCCCTTGCTGGTGCTTGCAGTGGACAAAAGTTTGATTGCCAGCACTGACATCTTGGCTCACAAGCATCCATAACTAAAGTTCCAGGAGGATCCAACGCTCTCTTCTGGGCACCAGGGGCACCAGGCACACACATGGTACATGCCCATACACATAAAATAAAATAAACAGCTCCTTAGGTCTTAGCTCAATATGACCAAATTAAGAAGAAATAACAATAGAGCCAAGAAAGGGCCCACAGCCATGTGACGCTAATTCACTGCCCACCGACCGCACCCATTGGGTGCCCAAGGATAAGAAGGCTGTCTTCCATTCTGAACACAGTGGAGGGTGCTACTGTCCAAAACAGGTGTCTTTAATGCTCCCGTGACTCCCAAGCTCTGTGTCAAGCTGCTTTACTGTGTGAGCTGTGGCATTTCAAAGTCAGGTGGTCGGGAATGGATCTCATGAAGCCTTAAAGGAATCAAATACTCCTACCACCACTTAGACCTCTCCCAAAGCCCATGGAAAGAGCTGGCTTCAGAAAGACAGGAGCAAAACCACCTGGGAAAAATAAAATCATAAAAAATAAATAAAATATTAAAAAAAGAAAAGCCTTTTTAAAAGAGAGAAGAGGATCCACATTAAATACAAGTGGCAGCATCCCATAGGCTGGGGTCATGATCTGGATAAAAAAGGAAGGCAAAGAGCCAGGCATTGGTGGTGCACGCCTTTAGTCCCAGCACTCGGGAGGCAGAGGCAGGCAGATCTCTGTGAGTTTGAAGCCAGCCTGGTCTACAGAGCTAGTTCTATGACAGGCCTCAAAACAATACAGAGAAACCCTGTCTTGAAAAACAAAAATAAAAACAAACAAACAAAACAACAAAAAATAAATAAAAGGAGGGCATAGGTGGACAGCATACATCTTTACTCCCAGGCGTATCTGATTTCTGAGTTCAGGGCTAGTCTGCTCTGCTTAGTGAGTTCTAGGACAGCCCCCGGGCTACACAGAGAAACCTACATCCAAAAAAAAAAAAATCGAGCAAGAGAAGGGAAAGGCTAACGGTTCAGCCCTCTGCCCTCCCTGCTCCTGACTACAGCTGCAATATGTCCAGACGCTCACAGTGAGCCAGAATAAATCCTTGTTCGCTGTGTCACCTCAAACCATGGGCCCAAATAAACCACCTTTCTCTGAAGCAGTTACTGCCAAGCATTGAATCACAGTGATAAAAGTAACTGTTTTAGGGATGTGTTGTTGTTGTAGTTTGGACAGAGCATTCTATGTGGCTCAGGTTGGTCCCAATCCTGGGCTCTGAACTCCAACCACACTCCTGCCTCAGTCTCCCACTTATCTGAGACTATGGATAGGTATCAATACTGAGCTTATGTATCTTAAAGTCATAATTGAATTTAGTGATATGAAGGAGTGTCTTTTATTTCCACCTCAGAAGAGAGTTCTCATCATTTGTAACGGGGTGTGAGTGGGGTGGGGGGAGGTAAGGAGTGGGGGGGTTAGGGTGGGAGGAGGGGGAGAGCCCACCTAATATGCACATGGGACCTTTTGTAATTCTTCAAGGAACACTGTAAAACAGGCGTCATTGCCTTCGCCTTGTGCATGGCAAGGAAAATGGCTCACATGTTGGCACTGCAGAGAAATAAGCAGAGACGTGTGGCAAATGGCACACAGCCAGTGGAAGTCAAGTGTTAACTAGAGAACGGGTTTCTGTGTCAGGTGACCCCAAACTGGCTGAAAGCGGCTCTCCACTCCACCTGTACAGCATAGACAACACGGGAGGGCTGCTTCTCAACTTGTGCATGAAGAAACATGTTCCTTGGGTTTGTACTTTTGTAGACACTGATACTAATGGCCTAGGGTAGAACTCCACACAGGAAAGACACCATAGGGAGCAGAGACAAACTCCATGCATGTTACAATCAGGGTGGGCTGGTTACAGAAAAGGGCCTGGGCTAGCACCTCCCTCAGGCTCTAGGGTGGAGCAGGATGGCATCAGTGACAAATTCCCTACTGAGGACCGAGGATAAACAAATAAACACCCCCAGGTCGGAGTCACACCGACTATGGCTATGTTCAACCCTGCTGTAGCCCAGTGGTCCTAGCACCCAGACCTTCCTCCTTCCCTGCCTGGGTAGCCTCTTTCCACAGATGTCCTAGGAGCAGGGGCTTGAGGCTGTGTAGACAGCGCTTCTCAAGTATACAGAAACACCCATAACACCCGATACTGGGCAGCGGGGGCTTTGGGAGAAATACGTGTTTTAGGTCAGTGTGTCCGGCTAGGACCTGTCTAACTGAACCCCAGGGGTATTAACACTATTGGTTCTCAGTCCAAACCCCAAGTAGCAGGTTGCAGGAAGCAACTGAGTGGTGCCAGTGGGCAAGGTGTCCCTTGTTGCCAGTGGTTCAGGTGCTATCGGGCACCAATGTGTCCCCGAGGGAAATGCCACAGCATCCTGGGGGAGGGGCAGGTGTAAAGCAGTGTATGACTGGAGACCAGCAGGGGTGGTGGTGGCACATGCCCTTAATCCCAGCACTCCGGAGACAGAGGCAGATGAATCTCTGTGAGTTCAAGGCCATCCTGGTCTACATAGAGAGCAACCCTGTCTTGAAAACACAAAAAATCTGACCTCCCTCACCGTGAATTTCTAGCAGGTTCTTGGTGCCAGCCTTTCGGTGCAGCTCATCAATGTTCTGGGTGATGACTACAACCCGTCGGCCCTGGTCTCGCAGCCGAGCTTCACACTGGGCAATGGCCAGGTGTCCAGGGTTGGGTTCCTTGCTCCGCATGACCTCCCTCCGGTAGTGGTAGAACTCCCACACCTGTGACGGGTTGCGGGCGAAGGCCTGAGGAGTCGCTAGGTCCTGAGGGGAGAGGCAGAGGTCAGTGAGGACCTGGGAGGTGGAGATGGGCAGCTGTGGCTCTGGCTGGACTGTGTGGCACCAGCTTAGATTCCATCCAGGAACCAACTAAGGACTTTAGACGGTCACTCTCAACTGCGCTGCATGAGACTGAAGCGATGTGACTTGCCTCCCTCATGGCACAAATTAGATCAAGAAGTTGGTGGCGCATGCCTTTAGTCCCAGCACTCGGGAGGCAGAGGCAGGAGGATCTCTGTAAGTTCGAGGCCAGCTGGGTCTACAGAGCAAGTTTCAGGACAGCCTTCAAAGCAATACAGAGGTGTCTTGAAAAACCAAAAAAAAAAAAAAAAAAAAAAAAAAAGAAGAAGAAGAAGGAAGGGAGGGAGGGAGGAAGAAAAGGCAAAGCAAACAAAGAAAAGCTGCTCCTTGCTTGGGAGGGGGAATAGCATCCCCCCCCCTCCAACTCCAGGAGACTGAACCACTACAAAATGACCAGCAGGGGGGAGGGCTCCCAGGAGACCATAAAAAATCCAAACTAGAGCCTCTGGCAGACTCCACCTCCAGGGCTCTCCCATGCCCTTGGTAGAGGCTGTTTGTCTGTCCCTTTTGTTGTTTGTCTCTTTGTGGCAGATCCTTCTGGTTCTGCTTCAATTTGTGATTATTTCATTCTGTCAACTGTCCCCAGGATGATAACCCACTGTCCCTCTGGACCCTCAGGGTCTCTACTTATACTTTGGGGCAGGGCAGGGCATGCCCCTGCAGATCTGGCTCACACAGTGTCAATGGCTTCTCTGTCTCCCAGTTACTTTGCATCCCTGTCTGGGCGAGTCTCTCCAGGACATACAACCCTTGTCAGTCCCATGCAATGAACTCCCTGGTACCCTAGATGACCACTCCTCATCAAGATACTCATAACACATATGCATGCATACATACAGCTATACACACAAACTATACAGAAAGGCATACACACCTAACCACACACATGTATGAGCCACATAAATGCATGCATACTTATACATAAAAACAATATGTATCAACAGAACATGAAAGATCTGAGCTTAAGGCACCAGCCCTCTTTTAAGACACTTTGCTCCTGTGACAGAGGCACAGCACAGCTGTCCGGGCTGGAAGCTGGCAGGAAGTGCACAAGGAAATCCTTAACACTTCTGGAAATGTCCTGTGTCCTCCCTTGTGTTAGCTCAGGGCCGCACTGAACTACACACAACAAACAAGTTCATTTCAGGCTCTGTCAGTTTTAAAAGAAGCATATGCAGGGTGCCCCACATTCACAAACATGTCCCCACTCCAGGCAGAGACAGCCCCACCCCAGCCAAAGATACCCTCACCCCAGCTAGAGACACCCCCACCCAGGCAGAGACACTCCCACCCCAGCCAGAGACACCCCACCCCAGCCAGAGACACCCCCACCCCAGCCAGAGACACCCCACCCCAGGCAGAGACAATAGCCTTCACTTTGAAACCCTGAACTCCCTCTGGACACATAGGACACCCTGGCCAGTAGCACACACTCCACCACCCTATGAACTGTAACCATATCCACAGGCCCTTGGAGCAGAGTTGGAATCAGATGTGCCCTCTGCCTACTGACAAACTCTGGGCTTCCTCTGACACTAGAGCAGCCCCTCCCAGTTCTTCCTGCCACCTGCTACTGTCCCCAGGGGTGCCTCTGGTGGTCCTTCTCTCTTACTGGACTCTTGGCGCCCTCTACCCCTTTCTCCCCCCCCCCCCAGGCCTGAGGAGTGCCGGAGCAACCCACAGTTCCTCCTGCTTCAACACTTAGGGGGAAGGGAGGGAGGGGGGAAGGGACAGTCCTTGCTCTGCACTCAGTGAAAAAGCCCTGAGGATTCTGCAAAGCATGCTCTATGGTAGTTAATTTTGTCTTCATTAAAGCAAAATGTATGTACCAGCGTTTGGGAGCTGGGAGCTTCACAATGGATAAGACACATGGAGATCTCTACTCTCTAAAACTCGGGGTTTCCAGGGTGGGAGAAATGGCTTAGCAGTTAAGAGCACCCAAATGAAACACTTCCCTGGCAGGGAAGGAGAGGCCCCAAAGCCTCGGGTGGTTAAAGGAGATAAACAAAAGGTTACATGTTCCAGAGACAAAACCTTGAAAGATTCTAGAGACCCCTATCAACAGAAGAAAAAGGAGTAAACAGCCACTGTGACCTGAGAGGCTGACCCCTGACCTTGAGAGGCTGACCCCTGACCTCCCAAAGAGATAGATGTTTAGAATACAGAGCTGCCTGCTAGCCACATGGAGGAGCTCTGGGGTCCTGGGCACCATGGTCACAGTTTGTGGGAGTCATCACACGTGGTGAGGTAGGCTTTCCAGTGATGCCATTAACCCCTTTATTTAACTCTAGTAAAAAAACAAAACAAAACAACTCACTACTTCACCCAACTGGACAGTGGTGCAGTCATGACTTTGGTTTGCCGTGCACTCCTTTTCTGGGATGAAGTGTGTGTGTGTGTGTGTGTGTGTGTGTGTGTGTGTGTGTGTGTGTGTGTTTCATCCACATGAGTGTGCAGATGTGCACACCTGTGCATGAGAAGCCAGAGGACACTGGGTGTTTTCCTGTTGCTGTCTGCCTTGTTCCCTTGAAACATAGCCTTTCACTGAACTAAAAGCTTGCTATTTAGGTGAGGCTGTCTGGACATCAGGCTTGCAGGACCCTCCTGTCTCCACTTCCCAGCGCTGGGGTCTTAAGCATACACAGTTATGTGCAGCTCTTTATGTGGGTGCTGGGAGTCAAACTCCGGTCCTCGTGCTTGATGCTTGCACAGCACGTGCTCTCATCTCCCTGGCCCCAAATGTGCTATTATAGTCGTCATAGAAACTGTGCTGACACCAAAACCAACAGGATAAAATGGTTACCGCCAACTTCAAACACTGCCCCTGGGCTTCATATATTTGTATGGAAGGTGAATTAACTTCCATAATAATTCCATTCAGAAAAGCCATTGGCATTCTGGAAGTGTTACTAACCTGAGCTTGCCATTTTCTCCAATAACCTCCAGCTCCTCTGAAAGTGGGAACCCCACTCTCCGCACTAACACCAGCCCCTGAGATGATGGCTATGTGCTTTGCGCTTGCAAAACACTTCCGGAAATCTGCCATATCTAAACAGAAAATAAAACCTGTGTCAATCCAGAGTACCAACAGGACATTTATATTCCACATCAATTGTTTATGTCGTGGAACTTGACACTGAATAAAATCACACCATGTGATACTTTAATAGGGGCTGAAGAGCGGGGACACGGTGCTTCACAACCATCTAGAACTCCAGTTCCAGAGGATCTGGCGCCCTCTTCTGACATCTGTGGGCAACACACACACACACACACACACACACACACACACACACACACACAGGCAAGCACTCTTACATATAAAGTAAAACTTCAAAACATGAAAGATTTAAGATATTCCAATAAAAAGCATTCCTCGGGGCTGGTCAGAGGGCTCAGAGAATAAGGGCACTTGCCACCAAGCCTGATGACCTGAGTTCAGTCCCTATGCGGTGGTAGAACAGACTTGTACAAGCTGTCCTCTGACCTACACACACCTTAGCACACATGTGCCCCTGTCCCTTAAATAAATAAAGTTTAAGAAACATTTCCTGTACCATGAAAACATCGTCTTGTACACTGAGTGGGTGGATACATGGTATCTCAGGGAAATGACGGCTTTGGGCGCACACCTAGCATGGCATCTCAGCACCCCTCCATCCCACGGTATGATCTAAACTGCTTGCTCTCCGTATACTTGGCTCCATGGGTTGCTTGGTGTCCATGATACTCTTGTCTTAGAGCACGGTTGTGCAGATGTGAAAGGGTTAATGGATCCATATTTCTTGTGTAAAGCCAGGACAAAGCCTGTGACCAAGCTGAACTGAAGCCCATTAGATACCAGACATCTAAAATTCTCCTCACAGCCACTCGTCCTGTGAAAATCACGTTAAACCCCAGCACCGTGTCCAGCGTGGGCATTTATAAGGATGACTTACTTGAACTTGGACGAGCCATGGTGAGGCAAATCTTGCTTTGTGGGGAGCCTGGAAGCTTCAGTCTACAACACAGCTGGGAAATGAATCGGCTTGGAACAATCTGGAGTGGTCGCATCAGGTTTTCTTTGAGGTACTACTTGTCCAAAGTTAGAAAAGTTGAAGAAGTTAGAAAAGTTATAAAGTAACACAGAAACGTTCATAAAACATTCAAATACATAGTGTATCTTTGTCTTGTTAGAGATGGTATTGCAAGTTTACAAGTACAAACATTTTGGTGATTCAAAATAACTAGTCCTAAGTAGAAAAATCTCATAAATATACTCAGCCAGCAGAACATGGTTAATCCAGCCTGCTTCAAATGTGCTCGCAATACCACTTAATGTGAAATCCCTTAGAATTTATTTATTTATTTCTTTATTGCAACAGAATCCGGTTACATATTGCAGAGTGGCCTTGAATAATGGTCCTCCTATTGCAGCCTCCCAAAGCCGGAGATTCCAAGCCTGTATGCCACCATGCTAAATAATTTTTAAGCCTCTGGGGGTAGGTAAAACCCAGGGCTTTGATTGTAGCAGGTACATGGAGCTACACCCCAGATCCTTATCTTGTGCCTTACTGAACACTGAACTAAAAATGAAGCATTGTGATGGTGCTGCTGAAAACTCTATGAGGTCACAGTGAGTAAGGAACTATATTGGCAAGAATGCCCTAACAAGGGAGAGGCAGGAGGGGCAGGAGTTCAAAGTCATCCTCGGAGATGTAGGGAGGATGAGCCACAAGAGAGCCTAGCAAAAAAAAAAAAAAAAAAAAAAAAAAAAAATCAAAACAAGCCCGGTGGTGGTGGGTGGCTTTAATCCCAGAACTCGGGAAACAGTGAGTTCGAAGCCAGCCAAGTCTACAGAGAGAATTCTAGGACAGCCAGGTCAGTAGCACAGAGAAACTCTGTCTCAAACAACCAAAAAAGGAACAAAACAAAAAGCTCCCAAGACAAAATGAAACAAAAGAAAAGAAAAATGATAAAACAAAAAGGACACCCTTACTTGAAGCCACAGATTGCTGCTCAGGTGTCCAATACCTGTCCTGAGATCCTCAGGAATGCAAAACCTCCAGTTCCAGCCCAGGCCATAGTCAGACCCTGGCCGAGCCCACAAGCCACTAGGTAATCTTGATGGCCACTCATGTTTGGGATCATGGTTGTGGAGACTTGGGAAAGTGTTAAATGTGAAGAGTGTGTGCATGTGCGTATGTGTGTGTAATGAAGATCAAAGAGCAACTTAAGGTATAGATCCTCAGAATTGAGACAGGAATCTCACTGGGATCTAGAACTTGCTAAGTAAGCTAAGAGACCTAGGGATTTACCTGTTTCTGTCTCTCCAGTGCACACACCACCACACCTAGATTTTTTTTTAACATGAGGCCTGGGATCAGACACTTTACTAAGCTACCTCCCCAGCCCCAAACATGAGAATTCTTAATAAACCAAAACAAAAAGGTTGTATTTATAACAGTACAAAACACTTTTTTAAAACCTGGCTACCTTTTTTCAAGTGTATTTTTTTTTAGTTTTAATAATGGAGAGTGTTTTTTTTGTTTGTTTGTTTTGTTTTTTGTTTTTGTTTTTGTGTGTGTGTGTGTGTGGTTTTTTTTTTTGTTTTGTTTTGTTTTTTTTTTTTTTTTTCACATGAAAGCAAAAGCTAAGTCAGAAACGTTGGATTCCTAGGAGCTGGAGTTACATACATACTGCAAGAGCATGTCTCGGCTGCTAAGCCATCCCTCCAGCTCCCTGCCTGAGCTTTTGATCAAGGAGTTTTGATGACAAAATGATTTTTGAAAACTGAACTAAACAGCAGCTATGTATACTGCCACCACAAATAAAATGTAGGTGGCAATGAAACTTGTAAGTTGTGAGGCATATTTAGTAAAAATTTATACTTGAGAAATTTTGTAAGAGGGGCTGGGCACGGAGGCATTATCCCTGCAATTGCAACACTCAAGATTCCAGCAGCAGCAGCAGCAGGATTGTTGCTAATCCCCAATCCAAAGCTAGCCTGGTCTATATAGTGAGGTCTAGGTCAGCTAAGACCACATAGTAGATCCAGTGTCAAAGAAAGAATAGCTGGATTGAGCCAAGATGACTTATCACAGACAGTAGAGAATTAGGTTAACAGAAGAGTCTAGAAAAGGACTCAATCCCCATCCATAGAAACAAGTTCAATAAGCAAGGAAAAACATTCACAGTGTGCAATATGGCTATGGGGGGAGGGAGCAGAGCTAGGGAGAGGTTAAGTCAGTAAGAGTCACACCATGCAAGCATAAGAACCTAAGTTCAAATCTTTAGTACTCATATAAAAACCCAGGTGTGACAGACAGCACATGCCTGTGACCTCAGCACTAAGGGGAGGGGACACACTGAGAAAGACTAGAATGTCTGGCCAGTCAGCCAGCCTAGCCAAAAGGCAAGCTCGAGATTCAGTGAGAAATCCCGCCCCCACAAATAAAGTGAGATGGTCCTGGTCACCAAGCCTGATGGCCTGAGTTTGATCCCCAGAACCCACATGGTGGAACAAAAGAACGACTCTGACACTAGCTGTCCCCTGACCTTCACAGTGTGCTACGGCATGAACACTTACCGCACCCCACACACACAAATAAATGTTTTAAAAAAAAAAAAAAAACCTTTTAAGCAAGACAAAAACAGTGGGTTCTGGCCTCCATGCACACTTGCACATACACAACTATGCAATACACATTCACTCACATACCCAAACATACTTTTCTCAAGAATTCATGATTGTATCCCTATGACATTCCAAAATAAGCAAAGACTGCATTTATGGTTGTGATGGAAGGGGAGGAAATACAAGGAGACACGGGGGGGGGGGGGGGGGGGGGAAAGTTGGAGTTGTATAAGAAGGAAAAAGTTCTGGGAAAGAATGTCCCAGCCACCAGCCATGACTACACTGTGATCTTAAAATGGTTAGGACTGTGTGATGGTTATCTTCATTGTCAACTTGACCCCATTTAGATCACCATGGAAACAGCTCTGAGGTCACCTATGAAGGTGCTCCGGGAAGATTTAATTGAGGAGGGAGGACCCACACTGAAGGCGGGTGGCTTCACCCCACAGGTTGGGGTCATAGATTGCATCAAAAGAGAAAGCCAGTCGGGTACCAGCATTCCCTCTCTGCTCCTGACCAGCTGCCATGCCTTCCCTGCCGTGATGGCATGTCCCCTCAACTGTGAGCCAGAGCAAACTCTTCTATCTGTAAGCTGCTTTGTCGGGTGTTTTGTCACAGTGATGAGAAGGATAGGAACTAATATGGATGGTGACATTTACATTTTGTGTATTTTGACCACTGTGTTAAAAGTCAGAATAAGAGAGTTTGGTATCAACTGATAGGATCACCAGAACAACACTGTTGGAGGGGAAACGCCAATTAGCAAGAACTTCATAAGAGATGGGGATGACAAGAGTTCGCTACTAGGATGTTTATTTTAAAATTAAGAATTCCCGTTCAGCGGTGATGGTACACACCTTTAATCCCAGCACTCGGGAGGCAGAGGCAGGAGGATCTCTGTGAGTTGGAGGCCAGCCTGGTCTATACAGTGAGTTTCAGGACAGCCAAGACTGTTTCACAGAGAAACCTTGTCTCAAAAAACAAAAAGAATTTCTAAGAAATTAGTGAATGAATGGGGTGAGTGTGGGAAACAGTTTATACAGAAATACAAAGAGAAGCCAGGTTTTCAATATCTACATGAATATCTTGCTCCATGGTACCTTCCAGAATGTTCACTGTGAAATCTTTTTATTTTATTTTTATTCACTCATTTTTAGACACATAAATGTTTTGCTTGCATTTCTGTGCATTGCATGCCTGGTGCCCTAGGAGTTCAGATGAGGAAACCACACCCCTTGGAATTGGAGTTGTGAGTAACTGTGACCCACCATATGGGTGCTGGGAATGGAACCTGGGCCTCTAAAAGAGTAACAAGTGCTCTTAACTTCCAAGCTGTCTCTCCAGCCCTGATTTTTGGAGGTAAAGGAGCAGCTTCATGGAAAAACCCAAGGTTGCAGGCTTCCTAACGATTGCAAGTATCTCAAAGGACTGATGGGAGGGTTCAGGCTCTCGTGAGGGCACAGAGGGAGGTCACATAAGTGTTTCGCTGCTATGAGGAAGCAGGCCACTTTGGATACTATAGGGGACATTATTGATGAATAAGATTGTTAGAAAGCTTTTGGATTCATGGTTTTGACAACATACTTGCTTGTATCTCAGTCGAGACAGGATAACCAAGTGGTCTAGGTTTTCTCCTGATCCATTGTGGTCACATGTGGTCTTGCCTGATGTTGGCATTCTGTGGCATGGTTTATATTTAACAGAACACCAAGGCCTTGACTCCAAACAGAAGAAAACTAAATGGCCATCAACTTATACACAAGTGAACAAATTATGCTTCTTCACACAACAAAGACTGTTCAGCAAGAAAAAGAACATACTGCTCATACATTCAACCCCATGAATGGCTTCTTAAAGTCTTGGTCAGCAGCAGCTTTGCTGTGAAAAACATGGCTACTACTACCTAGGCCAAGCAATCCAGGATAGCATGACCGGTAACATGACACGGTGACCTCATCTGCCTCCCACAGATGATGCGGTGGGAAGGACAAAGTTGTTGTTTGTGTGTGGTTTTTCTACCAAGATACATTATGTAATTACTAGAAATACCACACAAACTGCTATAATTAAAAAAAAAAAAAAAAAAAAAAAAAAAAAAAAGCAGCACTCAAGAGAAAGATGCCATGAGACAAAGTTCAAGCAGACAGGTTATTTTATTAGGGAAAAGCATCATAAAAATGGGAAAGGGGAGGAGGAGACTGGCCTCCAGAGACAGGAGCAGCAGGAGAGAGGAGAGAGGAAAGACAGGGGAAGAGAGAGAGACAGAAGGATGGAGGTGGGCAGGGCCCTTCTAAAAGGGAACATAGTCAATGTGCACAGGTGGTGCTCTTAGTGGCTGCAGCTGAGGGCGTATCTTGTCAGAACCCTACCGGCAGGCCAGTACAGATGCCTGGATACTAACACACACCTAGTTGAAGGGCACTGTGCAGCATAATCAGCAGCACTTGCCACATTG